TGTTCGGATTCCAGACACAGAGGAACAAGTATTGGGCATAATCGAATCAGGGCCTTCCAGGGGCACTCAGAGCACAATAACTGACACTTTCCCACGCACCAAATAAATACCGAGGAAGGGCTACATTTCTACCACGTTCGTACGATACAAGGAGATACAAATGGAGCAGGAGTTAGTTAACTGAATACGAGAAGCTGCTTGATAAGAGTGGATAATAAAGAGATTACACAGGCACTAGCTTGTTTGGCGTTAACCATCCAAATGTTTGGTATTGTATGGTTTAATTTTAAACACCAATATTCGAGGTTATGAGAACAGGTTTGATATTTCGTCAACAAATCTTGTTGAATTTATACAGTCTTTTATCCTTGTCTATCTTATTGTCAGTCTGTATAATTTCATGGTTACCGGAGTTTTAAATAATTACGAAGCCACAGGTATTTGCGCAATGTTAATTAGGCAGATTACCTTCAAAAACATTGCTGCCGTATTTCTGATATAGTTTTTTGCAAATTTCTCAGTTTTTCATAACAGTTAATTTATTTTACTATTTTTTCTGTACTCCTATAACAGCGCCAGACAACACCTCCAGAGGAATGACGCCAATTTTGAATCCCCGTGTATAGAAAAATTGCACATATTTGTAAATATTGTTTAATAAAGCAACAGTTTCAAAATTAAATCAGTTCGTTTATATTCGACACCCCCTGGTATATTGAGAAATAACGATATGAATAAACTGAATAACTCAAGAGGCAATGGATTGCTTACGTAGCCGTTACTCGTTTAATGGAGACTGCAAGTTGTTACCAGAAAGCTCGAAATATTGGGAAATATATGTAGGAAAAAAATATAGGAGAAACGACTGAAGAACAAAAAATCTGAATTGAATTATTACATTTAATAAATGTTATCATTTCAGGAAAAAAGATTTGCCTTCATATTCATGGAGTGTTTCCTTACTTATACATTCCATATGATGGACATGGGAAGCCTGAAGATATTATGCGCCAAATAGCTAGAGGGCTGGATAAAGCCATTAATATATCTTTCAATCAGGCCAATTCCAACGCGCAGCATGTATATAAAATATCTTTAGTATCTGGCATGTAAGTGAATCGGGTGGCGGTAATGCAAAGCGCATTGAAGCGACCCTAAGCAAAGCGAGGTGAAGCGCGAAGTTAAGAGTTGTCTATCCCGCACTTGAACCAGATTTTCCTCCGGAATGTTTCAAAGAAGGTGCGCAAAATAGATACAGATGGCAAATAAATATTTATATGTATACATATTTTAATTGAAAAGTGTTTATATATAAACAATGTTTATTTGTAGTGAAAAAGTCTATCGACCGAATCGGTCTTTCTGCCCTTGCATACAGGGTGATGTTCGTAGATCGTGCATTAGAAGTTTTCCAACTTGCAGTTGTTTTAGAAACTTCAAATTTTGTTTCCGCACATAAATTTAATAGTCGTGCCTAAGCCATGAAACTACATTTAGCCCTCTAGTGTTTTAAGAAGCTCTTGATTCCTTGTAAAATACCAAATTTCGAAATAGTCGCAGAAAAGAAGTTACAGAGTTTTAGCACGCCTTATCAAGTCGCTTTGTTTCCGCTCAGTTGTTCGTCACTTTGCGCTGGGTCGCGTTAGTGATTACGCTTTATTGAATATTTATATTTTGTCTCAATACTTTTAGACCTATGTATGGATACCACGTAAAAAAGCATCAATTTTTCAAAATATATCTTTATAATCCCAAACTGATTGGAAAAGTGGGCACTCTCTTGCTGAACAAGGCCATATTGGGGCAAATCTTTCAACCTCATGAGGTTCACCTCAATTTTACTCTTCAGTTTATGATAGATTATAATCTTCATGGAATGAGCAATTTGTTGCTATCGAATATGAGGTACAGGCTGGATCCCGATAAGCCGTACCATGATATCGATATTGAATGGTTTTTACCACCATCGATAGAGAAAATATCTTCATGCGAATTAGAGGCCGATATTCTGGCGGAAAACATTCTGAACAGGCAAGAAATTCTGAGCGGAAATTTGGCGATTAACCCTGGAATTGCTGCAATATGGGACGATGAAAAGCAGCGACGTAGAAATAAGAATCAATCCTCACAATTGGGGGATTATTTGGAGTTGAAAAATACGGCATCAGCACCATCCAAAACACATTTAATTTTTCAGCAAGCTCTTAAGGAAAGATTGGCAGCAGCCTCAACTGATATCGAAGTTTCGAAGGTACGTCTTAGTGACCTAAAATATATTTTTGCGTTTTGGAATCTATTGCGCCCTTTGTCAGGTATGTTAAAAAAGGGTTTTCTTTCTGTCGTTCTTTCAACTGTTGACATCAGAGAAATTTCATAAGCAATAAAATCTGATGTTCTGAAGCGAACTTATGAAGTGAAGTTGCGTAATTTCGTGATAAAACTCGAAATAAAAGTACGCATTAAACTGCAAGAATCGTTGCTTTGACAATTCAGTTAAAAATTACTTTTTGAAACATAATTCGTCTCAACCGAATCAATTTCACCTGTTTTTGAATGTCTCAGTGTTCCATGAGAATTGTTTTTTACTATTTCAGCAAAATTCTGATACATCAATATATCCAGCAGAATGTCCGAAAGTTGCAGACATTCAAAACGCTTCTTCTGTGGACATTCATTATCCTTCTTCGCTTGAATTATCACTTGATGAAACGCTAAATTTATCGAGCAGTCAAGACCTTGATAAAACCTTAACTCCATCCGATGTGACTTTGAATACGGACGTACAAGACGTCTTACATCTATTAGAACAATTGGCTGATGAAAAAGTGAGTAAACTGTATCTACCACAATTTATGTTTATTATTTATTTCACCAAGGTGAAAAGGTTTATATTTTTGAAAAGCCTCAGTTTCGTACAGAATTTATTGTTTTGGATATTCCATCGTCACACTCTACTGCCCAGACCAACTCTTATAATTTTATTTAACTGATAATTAGATATTAAATTTATTATTGAAAAATAATATATGCGTTTTGGTCTTATTAGAGTACCAATAGCATATTTAGCATATGCTAAATAATAAATATTTATTATTTACCATATTTTTATCTATCAGCACGATTTTGCTGATAGACAGCCAATTATAGACACTATACTTCTTAATTTTGAACCAGTTCAAAGCAAATTGTCTTAAACGCGAATTTATTTATAAGGAGAAGTAGAGGTGTTAATTCTTGTCTCAGGTGAGTGGTGCTGAGGAAGATATGAGCATATTATCTCAAGTCCTTGCGGAGGAACCTGTTGACGAAGCGGCCGATTTACTTGATCTTAGTATGCCGTTCGATGCACTTACTACGCCTATAAAAAAAATTGCCCTTGCGGACACCCATAGCAATGCCAACGATATCAAATATTTTAACACCACTCCGATTCCTCAAATCGATGGTCAAGTAGAGGACTTGAATGCAGCTGATACATTCGAAGGCTCAAACGTTCAGAATCTTCATACAGAAGACTATTGTTCAACGCACTCGCCTACTTGGGAAAAAGATACAGGAATAATTAGATCTGGACTATACAGATTGGAGGAGCAAACGTTTAGAAGTGATATGCGGTCTAAAAACACGCAGGTGAAAGTAATGCGAAGAAATTTTAATGTAGGCAACAGTACGACATTAAATATTTTAAAGACAAGCTCCAAAACGAAAGTGAAGATCGTGCCAAGTAGGCAATGGTTGATAGGTGAGTAAAATAAAATTAAGATAGCAATAGAAGCCATGCGTAATTTCACCCACATTTACAACTTTCAGAAGTTTAGTTATTACCTTTAATGGATTCCAATGAATTCGGATTAGAGCTTGACTATTTTTTTTTCAAAGTTATAAACTTATGCAACAAAATGAGGAGATCTGGAATCTTTGGTATAGTTTTAATTTTGCCTCAATGCGATGGGCGCAAACAAGTAGAAATAACTGAAAATGCCTCTAGCAAACTGAAAAATATAACTTCATCTAATTAACTAATCAGTGTATACTTTAGAAGATGAATACTTATTTTGTTTACTGAAACCATAAATTAACAATATTATTTTCATTTTGGGAAAGTTAATGGTTTGTTAAAATCTGAAGTGCGATGGCCGATAGCTTCAAATATATACATCAATTGTGATGGTGCAATGGATTCAAGCTCAGAAGACGAAGAAAAAATAACTTTGGCGAAAGTTGCGAAAGGAAAAAGCGAGCCAACTTATGCTCCTTTAGGAATTCAACTTGTTAGATCGCCTAGTGTTTATTCGAGCAACGAAAAAGGTGAGCTGAGGATAAAATCGTTTAAAAGTGCACCGAATTCGGGGTGTTAGCATTCGGGCCTTGCACACGGTATAGTTATATCGTCCTCAAATGTTATGCAAGAAATTTTCAAATAATTGCAAAAAACAGTTTTGTTCTTATAAGTACTCACAAATGCGCAGCTTTGCTCTAATTTAAAATACTATCTTTCAGTCTAACACTTATATATACAGGGATGCTCGACGAAAAGTATCCGGCAAGATTTGCGGTTTCTTTTAGGAAACAACCTCTGGACCCCTATTTCTTTGTTGTCAGGGAAAGCGTTTCTTTTTTATCGCTGTGTCTTCTAACGCCTGAATTGTGGAAGCAAAAACGTTTTTTGTGATTTTATGAAAGTTTATGCTATTAAATTTCCTTTTGTCGTGTTATCGTATTAAAGTTGGAATTATTCCCCATTCACATCCATATAGAGCAGTTGTTCGAAACAGTCTCGAAAGTTGTGAAGAATTTCTGTTGCAAATTGTTGGTATTTTTTATGCTGAATTGTGCAAATTTTCGATTTAAAATATCCCCCGAAAATAAATCAAGAGGACATAAATGTGGCGGTCTTTGTCCTTTCAATAGTAGTTTTATTCGCAATATGCGGTACTTTTCCACCGGACACCCTGTGTATATTACGACATTATATACAACATTGCAATGATAATTATTACAGCTATTTTTAAAGCTAATTTGCGATTAAATATCTGTTATTAGATCTTCCTCATGCTAGCGGCGACTTTTCCAGGGACTGCAACATGTAAGTTTGTGTATAGTATAGTATAGTATGTAATATTTGTACACTTAGAGAAATATAAAGACAATATGACAATTGCAGTAGTTACAATAAGATAGGTAATGGCTTAACTGGGGTTTTAATGGTTTTCGTCATTTTTCTTTCATTTACTTGTAACAGATTTTGCAGCTTCAACTTCCTTTCGTTCACTTTCGTTTTTTTCTGTCTGTTTATGAATGGATCCAAGTTTGCGATTATACACTCTGTGCAGATTTATTGTACAGGGTGTTTACTGATAAGTTGACTCCCCCCTAGATCGTTTATTTCAAAAAAATGTGAAAGTCACCAACACAAAATTTGTTTAATTTTATTCAACTTTTTTAAATCTGAATTTAAAATAAATGTATAAAACACGGAAATGTCAAAATTTGACATAAAGTCTGAAACACCCTTTATACTTTTGGACATAGGACCAATAGGATTGGTTATTCTGATTTCAAAAATATATATTTTTACTATATTCGTATTGGCCGTTTTTCCTATATCATGTTTTAAAAATTATAAATATCAACAAATCAAAGTAGCCTTGAAATTCGACAAGGTGCTCCCTCAATTCAGAACGTTTGCCCGGTAGTACTTTTTTTAAATGACAATATTTATATCTGGATTGGACGAGCGGGTCTTATCCAATGGCCTCCAAACAGCCCCGACCTAACGACTCGTGATTTTTTTCTCTGGGTTATTTAAAGAATATTGTGCATGAGACTCTACTTAGACGCCTTAAAATAGAGGCTGCAATTAACGATATTAATATTAATCATAACTAATATATTCAAAACGTTATAGATAAAATTGAAGTAAATTATAGAGCCTGTCCAGCGTTAAACGGAGGTAATATACAAAATCAGTAATTTTAATGATTTTGTTTTTATTTATTTACTTGTTTTGAAATGTATAGTTTATGTGCCCTTTCTATAGTTTTTTGTTTCATTTCAGGCTACTTTAATTTGTTCTTATGTAAAATTTGGTAAGCATAATACAGAAAAACGACTAATGCAAATCTAGGCAATAAATAATCAATAAATATATCAGGAAAAAATCCAATCGGCCTGTCTAAAACTATATAAGGTGTTTCATTAAAAAAATGAATTTATGTCAATTTTTCACATTTCTTTTTTTGTATTTTAATGTTAAATTCAGATTTTAAAAAATTTAGTGAAATTAAGCAACTTTTGTTTGGGTCACTTTCACAATTCTTTTGAAATAAACGATCTAGGTGGCGTGTCAACTTATGAGAAAACACCCTGTACATGGTGAAACACCGAAAAATTTCGTACTCCCATTAAGGTTTACATCAAATCAATGAGAATATGTAACCTATTTTAATTAAATTTCGAATCATTTGAGTCAAAGAATGACTCACTGCTCTTTTGATGATGTGTTTGCGGGACACTCTGTATATCATAACCATATATTCAAAACGTAATAACCAATTTAAAGGATGCAACATGAAGGCAGGGAATCAATGAAAAAAGCAAACTCTAGAAAAAAATATTAGGTAAAAGTTTTTGTATGAAATTTTTGTCCCAATCCCGATTACCACCAATCGACATATTGTCGTTATTCTAGAATGATAGCATTATTTTATAAACTCTAAATGATTATACATCAATTGCTGGTTTTTATTTCAGAAATGAAGATCAAATGCCTAGCACATCTAGTCATTTTCAACAAGCTGAATTGCATCATAAGCGAAGACTGTTTCTTTCATCTGATAATAGTTCAAATCGTGCAGACACTGAGGCATTTTTGTCGTCCCGGTTATCTGCTTTGAAATCAAATCGCAAAAGTAAAACCTCACAAATCACTTATCCGGATTATGCTGCAAACTCTAGCGATTCCGATATATTTTCTGATAATTGCGATTTGGAACCATCGATGCCGAGGCGGCAATGCGAACTAAAAAATGAAAATGCTGACCCTTTAGACTGTGATAAATCGAAGCAAGCCTGCCCATATTCATCTTCGAACCCAACATTCAGCCTAGCAAACAGTGATCTGGAAATCAAATATTTAGACAAGCTGCATCAAGTGCACATGTCCGAACAAAACTCTATTAGCGGTTCATATAAACCTTTAATGAAGGCACCAACTAAGTCCGAAGTAGAATCTTCTCTAGATGTTTATAAATTTCCCCATGAACAAACAAAAGAACCCTTCTATAGCAATGTAGACGATTATACCGGTCCTGTGGAGATCGGCCATAAAGTTCTACGGATATCCAGTAGTACCACGGCCCATCTGGCTGATTTTACTTCGAACAATGCGCTTGATAATCACCGAAAAATGTTTATGGAAAATGTGGCTAACCTTACGCACAATTCCAGTAACATATGTATTTTAAAATTGGCACATTGCAGAAGCAAGACGCTGACTTTACGCCCGGTCAAAAAACCACCAACGGTAAGTGTCGTTGAAGAATGGATAAAATCAAACTCAACTTCCCACCATCAGGAACCAACATGTTCGTTGGAGGAGACAAATGAAATGCGCTCCAAATTGTATGTTTCTGATAGCCCTGGGGATGAATCTATTTTCGATGCGTCTCTATCACTAACGCCTGATTCTTTGCCTCAAACTGATCATTGCAGTCAAGCAATTGTCGGCTCAATTGTTAATAATGATAGAAAAATCGGGCAATTGAATGATTTGCAAATTCCAGAAGATAAATCCAACACGTCGTGTCAAATATCCGGCCAGACACTGCAAAATTCGTTTGGTTTTGATAAATCTGTACAAGACTTGCAGGCTGCTAGAGCTACGGTAGAACCTCAGTTCTTAACAACTATGGTTATGGAGTTGCATATCCGAACTCGTGGAGATCTTCGACCTGATCCACAACTGGATACTGTTTGCGCTATTTTCTACTCTATTTTTAATGATGTGCCGAATGCCGACAGATCTAAAGCGAGTGGTGTAATTGCTGTTAACTGCCTCCCAGTAGAGTTTGGGGCTGCGAGACCCGATTTTCTATATGGTATTGGAACCGACTGTGATATTGCTTACGTGGAGTCTGAAGAAGCCCTGATATACAAGTTCGTAAATTTAGTGAAGAAATGGGATCCAGACGTTTTAGCAGGATACGAAATAGAAATGTTATCTTGGGGTTACATAGTGGAAAGAGCAGCTGTACTGTCAATCAACCTTCTACCATTGCTTGGTAGAAGTCAGCTGCATAAGTTTGGAAAATCCAAATTAAAGCATGACAACGGAGAATTAGAAACAAATATTATTGGACGAATTGTCTTAAATGTATGGAGAATTATGCGGCACGAAATAGCTTTACAAAGCTACACTTTTGAGTCGGTGGTTTATCATCTTTTGCATAGACGCGTGCCGATGTATACTTCGAAGGACTTGACTCGGTGGTGGGACCATCGCAGTAATCTTTATAGACATCGGGTGGTCAGATATTATTTACAGAGAACCGATACGATTTTAGAGTTATTCGATAAACAGGACTTTCTAAACCGAACCAGCGAACTTGCCAAATTGTTTGGTATTCTATTCTACGAAGTGCTTTCAAGAGGATCTCAATTTCGAGTAGAATCTATGATGTTGCGCCTAGCTAAGCCTCTAAACTATATTCCAGTATCTCCGGATACTCAACAGCGAGCTGGCATGAAAGCTCCAGAGTACGTGCCTCTAATTATGGAACCCAAATCGGAATTATATACGGATCCAGTTATAGTACTGGATTTTCAAAGCTTGTATCCTTCTATAATCATAGCTTACAATTATTGTTTTACGACGTGCTTGGGAAGAGTCAACAAGCTTGGATCGAATTATCCATTTGAATTTGGAGCTACTCAATTGAAGGTGTCCAAGAACATTGTCAGGAAACTTTGCAAACGAGACTTGCTGAATTATTCCCCATGCGGCGTGGTGTTCGTTAAACAAAAAGTGAGAGAAGGCATTTTACCACGCATGCTGAAAGAGGTTTTGGATACAAGACTAATGGTTAAGAATTCAATGAAAGAAAATAAAGGTATGTAGCTAAAACATCATCATCATATGTCCAATCATTAAATTCTGAAAATTTTTGCGAATAGTAGCGAAGTAATATTTTTGTACCTATTTTCACTCAAATAAAGTTTTTTCAGATCAAAAATTCGAATCAAATATAGCTTGTTCACAAAGAATTAGAGCTACATGCGCTATTCGTTCTGTGTAAAACAATAATTTTTTGTTCCTAGTTTGAAAAAAATTTAGAATGTTTTTAGAACTTTTTAAGTACCTACATGGGTTTACAAAATTTGTAGCCAGTTGCTAGTTGCAGAGGCTGTTATTTTTTAGTGTCCTTAAAATCATTTGTAGTTTAAGTATAAAACATTATTTGTTGTATACCTCAATAAGGTTATTTATTTAAAAAAATATGAATTTCAAATGTTTTAAAATTGTCTGCAAGTGACCTACAAGTGCCCATCTACTTATGACGCTGCTATATCGCGAAAACGCAACCACAAGTGAAATCACATTATCAGGTTAAATTCGTAGTTAAAAAATCACTCTCACAGTTATAACAGTGATTTTAAAATCACGCTTTAGCTCATCTCTAGGTGCAACTGACTAATATGAGTTTAATCAGAAGTTCAGTAGTCTCAAATTTTTACAAATTATTAAATTGTACCTTAAACTTTCGCTAATGGAGCACAATAGTTTTTGTTTCGTCATTTAAAAATCTTAGTCATTGTACAGAGAACCCCACTATATTTAAGACTTTATCTAAGTAGAAAATGAATGTACTTCTAATTTAAGATTTGGTCATACTTTAAGTTTTATGATTTCCATATTTTGAAGTTAGACGTAAATGTATAGGGTGCTACAAAATATTTCATATCAACCTTCTTTAGATAAATCATTTCACTCCATGATAACGCTATTAAATTATATAGGGCAAATAAAAATAGAAGAAGAAGAAGAAGGCATTTTAATAGAAAATGTGAAGCATTTTTGAAATAATGTAGAACAATGTGGAACTGCAGAACAAAATCAGTAACAGTAAATCGCACTTCTAAAATGACCATGAAATTAAAGTTATTTATATTTTAGTAATTAAGTCAAATTTAGCTTTAATGTTTTTTTCGAATTCAAATCTCAAAACTTTCGTTTCAAATTTAATATAGGAACTAGTTAATGTTTTTTATATATCAAAATTTTATTTTATATAATCTGGTCCACATGCAACTCACTACGTGAACAAAAGTTGGATTAGAATTACATATTCTAGTCTGTAGTCTGAAATAAGGCGGGTTATCCTTCACATTTTAGATTTCTCCTAATATTGAAAGTAGAAATGCTGTAAGTGGGCCGCTTAAATAGTTCGTGTATATTACTTGCCGTATAAAACGGAAAAGAAAAGAAGCCGAAAGTTAAAAATTTACTGCTCAAATAATTTAGTTAGTTATCACGGATACATTCCTTATAGGCAACGATCCTCTACAAAAAGTTCTTCACAATAGACAATTAGGTTTGAAACTTATTGCCAACGTCACCTATGGATACACAGCAGCTAATTTTAGTGGAAGGATGTGTTGTGTGGAAGTTGGCGACAGTGTTGTTAGCAAAGGCCGGGAGACCTTACAAAGAGCCATTGCTTTAGTGGAGAGCACTCCCGAATGGGGTGCTAAAGTAAGTAGGTAGTTATGGTTTTAGCAAGTAAACTTTACGTAGTTCCTTAAACTTTTTAACTTTTTAATATCGTTTTTTACAATGTCATTTATTTTACTAAATACCTGTTAGATTTAAATTTTTTACGAAGGATAACAACCTCAGAAATTACGTTTTTCATACAATACATCGTATTTAATGCAGGATTATAAAGGTGGATTCCGTTAGAGGCATATGGAAAACGCGCCTTGAAAATCGTGATCTAACAATATAAAGTATTTTCAACAATGCAGTTTTTGCGCTTAAGCCAAAAAGTATCATCAACTTTGATACTCCAAATGGGACACTCTATGTATAATACCGTTTCTGGATTCCCAATAACTTTCCTACATTTTTCTTCAATACTTTCCGATATATATCTAACAATCTTCAAGTAATTAATTATTTTCCAATTTTTTGTTCAAAACTTACTTCTAATTTTATGTTTTTAACTGCAATATGTGTATTAGAAAACACATCAAATTTTGAATGTAGCATACGAATGTGTTGTGTATTAGTTTTGCATGAAGAAGTATGTTCTATTCTGTAATTAGTTGCTTTACAGCAAGATTTCAAAGCGGTCCGATGTCGATTTTTTCATAGGACACCCTATGTATTACCGAAAAACCTGAAAAATATTTGATGTTCTTATACCTGAAAATAGTTCCATTTTTTAAAAAACTAGCTTTTATCTTTGAAACCTTAGATACTATTCAAATATACGAACATGATATAGCATTTGAAAAGGAATTTGATAATCTTTCAGGTTTTTCGATAGTACATATCGATTAAAAAAATCAACTTTCTACCATTTTGAAATCCATCCGTAATTTACTCATTTTACGAGACCCTCTATAATACAGAACACGCATCTCCATAGAACACTAATACTCAATTTTAATATCTATGCTACAACCAGAATTTGAAGCTTTTACGGTTACAGATATTGCAGTTATGAACAATTAATTATAACTAAGTTTTGAACAGAACAATTTGAAAACAATTAGTTACTCGAAAACCGATAGAGTTGGACATAGAAAGTAATAGAGGAAAACTTTAGGACAGTTTTTGAGAAAGCAAAAACTCTTTCTCATTTGAAATAGCAAAGTTAATTATACTTTTTGCTAGAAGCGCCAATGCTGCATTCCTGAAAATATTTTAAGTTGTTGGATCACGATATAGAAGTAGCCAAATTTTCGTTTTCCTTATACATCTAACCTGCCGGTCTAAAAATCCGTTAAATCAGTTTTAAAAAGTTGGATATTTTTAGGTGGTATATGGAGATACTGATTCAATGTTTGTATTGGTACCGGGAAGATCTAAAAAGGATGCATTTACAATTGGTAAAAAAATTGCTGACGCCGTCACCGCAGATAATCCCGATCCTGTAAAGCTGAAACTGGAAAAAGTCTACCAGCCCTGCATTTTGCAAACCAAGAAGCGATATGTTGGCTACATGTACGAAACGGTTGAAGTAGTAAAGCCCATATACGAAGCAAAAGGAATAGAAACTGTTCGACGAGATGGTTGTCCAGCTGTTTCAAAAGTATTATGATTTCATTTCTAGTCTATTGACCGAATTAAAAACATGTATTGCTCCAGATGTTACAAAAGTGTCTAACACTTTTATTCGAAACCAAGGATGTCAGTCTCATAAAGAATTACGTATTAAAACAGTTTAACAAAATCCAAATTGGAAGAGCCAGCATTCAAGACCTCACTTTTGCCAAAGAATATCGAGGCAGGAGTGGATATAAACCTGCCGCTTGTGTACCTGCATTGGAATTAGCACGGTAAGCATATGATCAGAACATGTTAATGATTGCTTTAAAAATATGGTTTCTGAAGCAAACTATATGTTAGAAAATTTGCGATCTTGTTGGTTGAGATTTACGTTTTTTATAAAACAACCATCGCCAGAAATTCTTGGCGAAGTTTTCTAAATCACCCGTAACGGTGAGCATCAAAGCGTAAGGATTACCTTCCGTTGGTAACTTCTATATACATTTATATAATGTGGAAACAAATATAATCTAATTATAAAATATTAAAAAGCTAATTTATGAGATGTAAACATTTTTGGTTTAGACTCCCAGATTATTGTAATATTTTTTTTTCAGTAAATGGACCTCAGTCGATAAGCGAAATGAACCTAGAAATGGAGAGAGAGTCCCATATGTAATAGTAAACGGTCCTCCCGGTTTGCCGCTTATTCGACTTGTGCGAAGCCCGAGAGATCTACTGAATGATAACTCATTACGACCTAACGCTCTCTATTATATTACCAAAGTAATCATTCCCCCTCTTAACCGATGCCTCAATTTGATTGGAGCAGACGTGAATACTTGGTAATTAATATATATCTTTTTATTTTACCTTGTATCAGGATCCCAAAAGGTATATCGCTTGCAGTCATTAAAGGTTTTATTGCTAGAAAACACGATATACGGGACTAATCATGAAGTCTTGCGCAAAATCAAATTGGAAAATAAAAACAGCATTTTCCATTATTCAGAAAACCTCTATAACAAATTTGCAAAAAGCGAAACGCGAAACGAAAATTACTCCGTGGTTGCCATCTATTTCTACAGAATAAATCGTATAGTATAAAACCGGAATATAAATCAATTTTACAAAAATGTAATTTAAAAAAATCGAAAGCCCCGATTCAGAATCCAGAAACTCCCTCGTCGTTCTTCGTCGAATAAATGTAACAAGCAACAATATCATAAAATGCAAGTCAACAATATGGAACTTAAGGCTCTACAACTAGATGGTAATCAGGGGAAAAGTAATGCCAAACTTACCGCAAGCTGCATCGTGCCACCTGGAAAGAAAGAAAAAATGTGTTGAGTACAGCAGGATTGCCACACATTGGTGTCCAAAGCTAATTTATTTGAAATGAGCACAACAAAGAAAGAGACAAATAATCCACGCAACTTCAGTTGCTTTTGGTAAAACTAAATTCAGTTCAAATTAAGTGATGTATAGATTAGAAATCATTCTTACCAGCTTTCTGCAACCTGCTGCTGCATCCTCCATTTCCTACCCATGAATGCTCCAAAGGTACGCACTACACACAATGGAAATCCACTCCGAATAAAAACTTTAATCCTGCAGTTAACAAGGATAAACAACCGGACTTCCCTTAAGGGCCACAATGATTCTATATTTCCCATAAGTACGCAATTCACAGGACACGATAAATGACTGGCGACCTATTACGTCTCTTATCTGTAATGAATTGAATATTCAGGCTTGATAGAACCACCACGAATATATAATCATTTGCTTCATCGCCCTTTGGATGAATCATTGCACTTCAATTTAACAGCTAAAGATAAACAAATCGCGACGGTGGGCGCAATAGACTTTTTTATACTAAATTAAATGCCCGTTTATCCAGCCAGTCTATCGAACCAGTTGTTTTGCTCGATTTTAATAAAATTTTGACCAATCTGAACTGGATATTTTGCGTAAAAACTGGCTATATTTATGAATGCTTCTGTGCTTGCATGATTATATGCTGCGGATTACATAACTTGATTTTGAGAAGATTTAGCTCATTAATCTTTTGCGCGATTTTTCGGAAAATTTCGATTTTTAAAGCTTGATATACAGGGTGTCCCGTAAGCACATGATCAAAAGGCTACTGTCATATTCTTTGCATCAAAAGAAGATGATCTGACCTAACTTTTATTAACAAAAAATGTATGGTTCCTATGCTATTGATGGTCAGTTCTTCAAGAAAATTCCTTTTTTGAAATATCGGGCGAATGGTACGATGTATTTTAGTGAAACTCGCTGTGAATTTGTTCTGATGTAAAGACAGAAGATAAGAAAACATGCATATTTTTTTTAGCGAGTTTCACCAAAAAATTTGAAAAAACGTATTTTTTTGAAGAACTGACCATCAATAGCATAGGAGCCAGACATTTTTCGTTAATAAAAGTTAGGTTAGATCGTCTGCTGTTGATCCAAAGAATATCGCAGTACCCTTTTGATCATGTGCTTACGGGACACCCTGTATATGTAGATTAAAGCTCGCTTACATGGCCGATTTAGTTCAAGCTGTAACATGATTTGTGATTGTTTTTGTTTGCTTGCAGCATTAACGTGGCACACTTAACTCGATTGAATTGAATAAATCGAACTTTGAAATTTTGTTTCTCGTTTAAACCATGCAATGAATCATTTCTTTTGTCTGGAAGTTCAGTATTCTGTCGCTCTTATGCATTCGCAACAATATTATTTTGGAGAGAACCTGTTGCTTTCATTATCTTCGTGGTAATATTTGGAAAATTTCTGTTTCAGGTTTCACAAAATGCCACGTAAAAATAAACCCAATCTTCCAAACTCTTCACCTATTGTGAAATCAACTCTCTCACAGTATTTTATCTCGAACGTTTGTGTCGGCTGCTCTCAACAGAGTCAGGGTGGCTTATGCCAAATGTGTCAGAGTCAACCAAACATCACATATACGATTTTAGCAGAGAAATTAAGAAAATGGGAAGAAAACTATAATAACGCTTTGCTGGTAAATATATTTATTTATTGAGAAATTAATGCGCGGCTTTTAATATATATTTTTTTCGTAGATCTGTCAGTCTTGTACAAGTAGCGTAGATCAAATTGTTTGCGTTTCTCTAGACTGCCCAGTTCTATATAGGAGAAATCAAACATTCAACGATCAGCAGCAATCTGGATACGTTAGACAATTAATGAGTAACAGCAATATTTTTTGAACCAACGAACACACTGTAAACTAGACCCGGATAATACTGTGTCTTAAGACACTTGTGTGTTGATGCCGGTCTGTGGGTCTATGTGCCGCGTCATCTGGCCTCTTGCGACGCGGCACTTTAAACAACACTTAACATTTAATTTCATTCAAGATAGCAGCCTTCGGACTGCAGTTCGTGAAGGCCACGCACAGTTATCATATAGTTTCTGACCCTCTCGGCAGGGATTATTTTACGTTATAAAGCCCCACGAACGAAAGTGCTCAAAATACTTGCTACTTATTACTGATTCATTCTTATTTATCTCGGTTCGATATGGCTCGCATAAGGTGCTGATCGCAGGTACCAATACCACATCGGGGATTTCGATATTTCAACAAACCAAAAAGGCAAATTCCTGCCTTTTGAACACTACCAGATTGCATGCATCAGTCGGCGAAGAAGGCCAAAAAACTAACTTAAAGATTTTGTCATCCCTTGCATACATAAAGGAACAAAGGTCATTCGGTCTTAATTTATGGCTGACCCAGCAGCTTCGAAACCAATCAGATACTTGTGAGGCAAATAGGCTTTACAAGAAGGAAACATGTTGACACTTCATTCATTCCTTTCATTAAAACAACGCATCCGGCGTCTCTCATAGTCTCTTCATCTTCAGTAAAACCAAAGAAGAAAACATTGAACGCGCTGCACCCCAGCACCCACACGCGTCGCAGTCTTTTGCTGGGGTTTAATAGTAAAAATTACACAAGTTATAATGCGTAATATAGTTATATGACCACTTACGCAGACCACTATGTGTTTCAATCCATAACTGTCGATGCAGCATTTAATTATTATATAAGCTGCGCATTCGACATGTAGAAATTAGTCCTAAGTTAGCAGTTAAGGCAGTTAGTTCGTTGTTGAAAAATCTATTTTTGTAAAAATAAACGTTTTTTTAAAACCAAGTTTTTACATCCAGAAACAAAATTATATTTTCATGAAAAATACCAATCAAACAAATTATCCAGCAGCCAAAAAAAAATACATGTGATGTGCGAAATTAGGTCAATGTTATATAGGATGAATAAAAAAGTGAATCTTAACACTTTCGCCTTTATATAAAGGCTGGACCTTTTTCTACAAGGGAGGAGAACTGAAGATGGCTTTAAAGTTAAAATAAATAAAAAAAAAGACTAAATGAAATTTTACACATACTGAAATTTCCAAACTCTAGGAAACAGTTTGGAGATTCCGATCGTACTAGTTGTAGAAATGAGGAAAAATGTATAGACATTGTGGATAGAAATAAAACATAAATATTTTTTATTTAATATATTGTCGGCAAAATTAACGCACCATTACATAAAATGGCTGTAAATACAATTTATATTATAATATAATAAAAAATTTCTAGCAATAACAATCTATAGGGATACATCGTTAACAATGCTATAATTTATTTCATGTACAGTTTAATCATGTTGGTATATTTTTATCATAAAAGTATTAAACCTTTAAAACTATTTAATTGCTACCTACTCAAAATGATGTTTTCAGAAGCATGTGGCGTTCTTCGCTTACCTAGTATTATCTTATAGAGCTAATAAGTACGAAACAAAATATTTAAGCAACCAATATGGCTAAAACATTCGGAGATGTATAATATACAGTGAGGTTTCTTTGTCTCTGAACATAAAGGTGTATTTACCCATCGTCTCTCAAGCAAAAGAGTTTTTTTCTTTTTCAGTGTTCAGATTACCGCTCAATTATAACCTGCATGAAATTTGGCCACTTGCCAACATAAATAAAGACTCAGGGCTTTATTTAGGTGTACCTACAAAATGAACATGGGTGTAATTACAATACATGCTTAGAGGAAACACTGTAATGATGTATTAGTGCATCTAATTCTGCACTTTAAAACAATTTATGATAAGAGCCATTAGCATTAATTGCTAAAGAAGAGTTGCTTATATTGAAGCTGTTCAGCTTTATTGCTCTCCGCTTTATTTCCCTACTTTTGGGGTATTCCGAAGTTTCAACATCGTCTCGAATCGAAGCGACCAATCTTAATTGAGGTTTGTTAATTTCTCAAAACGCTGCGGCACTACGAATTTTGAAGAAAACCAAGAAAAATACTTAATGACTTTCTAAAGTTAACCCTGCATACGTAGTCCAGTGTCGCAGTACGACTTGGTCGGGCGTTTTCGCAGTACAATTCTACTGTAAATAGAATGGAAACACAAATCTAATGGCCTCTGGTTGGTCTGCAGTCAAATGAAACCCACTTGGTCGCTCTGCGCAAATATAAAATCAATTGACATTCGGTTTTGGGTTTTCCCATAAAATCGTACTGCGGTGTAGGATCGTGTGTGGCAGGCTTTAGTGTTTTCAATATATTATAGTTAAAAAAATACCCTCAAAACTTAAATTTTTCATTAATACAATCACCATATAGGAGATAAGTTCCTTGGTTTCACACATTTTGGGTATATTTACTTATTTTCCTTTTCGACTTGCTTGCAATGCAATACTGAATGCAATGGATTGCCAAGTCTTAGATTTTATTTATTTATTAGGTAACGAAATAGAGCGCAGGCGAAAAAAGCTGAATTATATTTTCCTCTAAGTTATAGAACAATACTGATTTTTCTATTTAATAGATTTCGTTATCAGTTAAACATGTTTCAACTTTTCAACAACAAAGAAATACAATAAATAATAGTTTAATGTAAATTAACAAAAATAATAGAAAGTTTTGCACGCATTTAAATTAAGGAGTGTTGATCAACTCTGATTAGTAGGTAATAAAGCATATATATTTTTGTGATAAATTTCGTATAAACTAGTTAAGATGTTTGCACAAACATTTCATTGGAAAATTGGACCGATTACGACACAGCAAATAAGTTATGCCTAATCAGATATGTTTTGGATTGGCTTATAAATAATTGTCGAATTAAATCTTTGTAACAAATTTTCTATCCATTTACCTAAATCAAGAACTAAGCGACAGCACCAGTACCTATTACCTTTAAAGGAAGGAATATCTTTTATCTAAATCGTTTTCCTATTAAAAATCCCAAATTTGTGTCTTCTGGTTACGCTAAGAGAAAACACAAACTCTTATTTTAAAAATTTTATCGTGAAAGTTAATATACGGGTAACACTTTCAAGATTGAGCGCATATTTAAGTAAACGTGCCCTTAATAGGGATGATGCAATATCTTAGTTCAACACTCGACTCAATAGATCAAAATGTTTACATCATCGTGCGAAAATCTGCGTGTAGGTACACATATAACTAATAAAATTGTGAGGGTTCAATTTCGAAAAAATCTTGTTTCCGCATGATTAAATTCACACAAACTGGCACGATAACATTGTATCGTTAGTATACACCTATTAGTTATATATGTATATAATTATTAAACCATTTCGCATTTTAAGTTGATATTTGATCACAAACATTATATAATCATTATGTATCAAACATTGCCAAACATTTGTTTTCTATAATCTATTTTTACATTGATATTTTATATTGAATTAATCAACATTTTATTGTGCTTTTACTGCAACTTGTAAAATCTATGCATACTTGGAAACAGTAAAAGTTAACTTCTTAGAGATAGAAGATAGAGTGTCGCAAGCGAAAATATTGTTTTAACGAGTCTAATGCATATTTTACTGGACTAGTTTTTCAGTTACAATATTTTAATATTACATTATCTACTTTAATCACTTAATTTTGTTGCACATTAATGTATCTCGATACATTTAACTAGGTTTTGTCATCTCAGTCATATGCCTAAGTTTACAAGCACTAGTATAAAACGACTATTGTTGAAGCCTTAAAAAAGTGCATGCTTTTTCTTGTTTTCTCCAAATTTAATTTTGCCAATGCAATGGTAAAATGGATTTGTTATTTGAACACTTAGAAATACTATTTTGATAACAGACAACTTTATCTAATAAAAACAAATTTAACATAATTATATAAGTCCGGAGAGACATTTTTACACAATTTACACTGCTCAATATGAGCAAAATGCTGTAAACGGCTTATCAACGGGTTACTATAAGCAACAGAAATGCGAGAATTATATCAAGTATTTTTACTTAACAGAATGGAAATCAGTTTCCATTAGTCCTGGACGTCCCAGTTAAACATCATTATATTACATGTAAATGCTCTGTCCGAGCAGTTTCATACGAGATTCATGTAATACATATTCCCCACAATTTTTTGAGATTTTGCTTGTAACGTTATGCTCTAAACACACGGCGCTAAGTTAAATTTCAACAGTAAGTGTTTGACTCTAGCATGTCCTCTAGTATTGCTTTTTAACGTATTTTCATTTATACCAAATGTAAATGTACATAGCGTACAAAGTTTCTATTTACGGGTAGTTCTACCTTATGAACAGCCAACCAAAATTAAAATGCAACTGGATCATCCGCATAAAATGTTCTGGACCTCGATCAAACGATAAGTTTTAATTGTTTAGTTAAGTAATATTTTTAGAATTCTTAGATTGTTTAATGCTCTAAGCACCCAAAATGGTTGCTGCTTGCTATTATTAGACTTTGCTCGACATTTTTATGCATGTGTACCCTTATACTATATGCGATTGCAGACCTCAAAGTTCTTGTATGCCTGTATGATCCCGTTATTCAGAAGCTGTAATACAGGGTAAATTAATAAGAAATTTCCTTTTAATTAAAATGTAAAATGTGGGTTTCCATATAATTGAGCTGATATTTAGCATGTTTTTTTTTAGATAATTCATACTAATTTTGCGGTATTGATTCACTGAGGAAATTTATGTCTCGTTCATGTTTATGTGAAAAAAAGTTTTTTGGTCTGTTTTATGCAGCAAAAATCTCTTTCCAGTAAAATGATATTTGTCCTTAACTTCCGTTACAGAAAATTTTCGATCATAAATCACGATTATAAATCTAATATTTTGTGGACTTCAAAGACGAAAACCTTTATTGGGTTTGGGTTGGATATGTACCAAAATTAAGTTTACGAAATCAGTGAAATTTTCATTTTGATATCAGATTTTTCGGAATCGATTTTTTCAACTTTGCCACCTTTACCTAAAGTTGCGAATATAGCTGTTTTGAGATATTAGTGTTTAAATTCTCACTTCTCACTCATTCTCACTCTCAACTCAACATACGTGTGCATGTTGTATGCACACCACAGAGGACCTAGAAAGAGTTGTTGAAATCAATAACAGACAGATGCGGGGCGCGAGTTTTCTAACTTCTCGATCAACTTATTATGTTAACATTATAAAAAAATTAAGCCATGGTCCATATATGGGATAATATGGGTTTCGGTTCATGTATTTTGTAAGAACATTTACATTTGGTATTTTTTTAAATCGATATTTTGTATTAGATCTACCAACTACCATTCCATATCAAGTCTATTTAAAAAAGAATGAGTTTTTGAACCAGCAAAAACCTTGTTTCAAAGTTGTTCATCTTTAATTTTACATTATTTAGATGTTGGATAAGTGCATTTTCGTAATTTTATACATTGAAAGTTTTAAAACAATTTAAACTAAATATACATATGTATATTAGGTTTTGTGAATAGTCAAGTTGATTTGACCCTTTTGTAATTGAACCACTTTTATAAGTGCTGAACATCTCTTTGACTGCATTAAATCCTAAACATGTTTTTGAATAAGTAATGTTGAAGACGTGGCCAATTAATTTTCTATGATAGCCAAGTGCAGTTACGACCTATGCAGACCGTCTAATAAGATTTGCATAGCACAAATATAAATTATTGGATCCTATTTATTATTTTTGTGCAGGACAAATTGTGCTTCGACTTTAAGCACGATCCGGAATTTGATTCACTTTAGACATCGAGTCCGATGTAGAATGAAGTAAAATAAATTTGTAAGAATCCCAGTTACCGACTAATGCGCTTCCTATTAATACAATCTTATCACTTAGTGTAAAACAAAGTAACAATAGGCACTTTTAGTGAAGATCGGTTAGACTTAAGTGCCATAAAACATTTTAACTATATTTACAATTTTACTTTCTACAATTTATATCATACTAGAAACATAATTATCTACAACTAGATATGTATGTATATTTCAGCTAGTTTTTCTCTAATTATTATTCGTATTTCCATACGCATCATTTTCGGGAAGTTTATTTTTACGGCTTATCTAAAGTTTAATTGCTAAATTTTTACTTTTTGAGCCACGATTTTATGTTGTTAGTAATCTTGATACATGCTTGATTTTAATGACGATTCATTTTCTTAATTATATATTTAGACTTAGTTCTAAGAATCAGATATATGTTGTTTTCTGATATGCAATTGGTAAAATTACAAATACAAATCGACTTTCTAATCGTTAAAACGATTGCTAAAAGTTCAGCGATTAAAATTTAGATGTCCAATTAGTAAATATTAACAATATGCTTCCGTTGCTCTTTACCGATACAATGTAGTTTTATCATTAAGAACGCCTACATTCCACTATGACAATCTATCAAGTATCAAAGTAAAAAAAATGTTTAAACTTACTTCGTTTTACGGTATAAAATCTCCCCTATTGAAGGAAAAATAACTAGCTCATTATTGCTATATGGTCGGGGATACGTCTACATGCCACTTTATTTCTACCAAAACGTCTTTGTAGATCTTCTAAAATATCAAAATGCATACATGGCATCGGATAAAAAAGTAAATAAACAAATACTTGGATTAATAATAATCCCGAATAAAAATGTACAGTTTTACTATAAATAACTTGCTGCTGAAAGCTTTGAATACCGATATTGTATAGAATAACCATTCTCAGATTCAGCTCTACTCAATGTTGACCAGTAAGAAGATTATGTGACACATGAGTAACAAGTGCCTTTACAATATTTCACAGTAATTGGTGTTTTTAAAAAGTGACAGAAAAGATGTGAGCCAAGAAACACCTGAATCAGATCAATCAAGATTATGCATTATTTCATTTCTGCACCTACAAATATTGGAGCCTATTCACAGATGGCTTGTACATATGGAATGAACATTTGTGGATAACTCATCAAAATTAGTGATAAAAAGCGGATCACCTACGTGAGTTGTGATGGATAATTCATTCATCAATTTCAATCTAATTAGAAAAAAATGTTCTAGATATCTAGGACTAGAAAATCTAGAATTTCCGAAGTTGTTCCAAAGTCTGTGGAAATAGTATGATGCCCAGAATTAGATCTAGATGATCTCGGTTTTGCAATTTTCATTTGAAATAAGAAGGACTTTATTAAAATCCGTAGTGTGCGTGATACTATTATTTTCCTTAAACTTAAGAAACATTAATTGCGTTTGTGTTGATGCTCGACTTGGCTGTAAAATGATGCAATTGGAGATATAAAATGTCGAAAGTCCTGATTTGGGCGGTTTAAGGTTAACACTTCTATAAAGGGATATAATTTGATGATTGGTCTTGATATAGACCTCGGCCTAGTAATGCAAAAACTAGAAGGTTTTCAAAAAATGGCCGCTAAATCATCAACCATTTAACCAAGGAAGGTGTTTACTCACTTTAAATAATTAATTCAACAACTGTATTGTTTGTTATACGTATTGCGAAAAAATAAAGAACTTCATAATAAACACTGGCGTATATTTTTTTTCTTTAAACACATCGGTACGGACGCCACGAAAAAAAAAACAAGAAAATAAGTTACCTATAAGAAACTTACTACCAAAGTGAAACTGGAACGTCGGAACCTGTTACAGAAAAATAACCGTTTACCGCATCTCTGGTCAGAACTCCAAAAACGTCTGTAAAATGAAGACCTGTTATAGATTCCATATGAATATTGCATCCTGAAAGCCAATTGACAAGGGAAGAAATATTGGGCGATAAAAAACAATTCCTTACATGATGTAACAGAGGAAGAAATGATTAATTCAGTAATGAATGCAGGTTTGAATGAAGGTCCAAATCATAAACTAAGGAACGAACACGAATAAATCATTGTTCCTGAAAAAAAGTAAGACTGATGGCAAAAATATAATTTTTGGATGTTGATAAGAAGATAGACAAAATAGATAAAACTATTTTTCTCACAATTTTGTGATTTTTTTTATTCAAATTAATCGCCCTGGATTAACGAATTTGTATTGTACTGATATTTTATTATTATTTGGATATTTAGTAATTCCAGTTCCTCCTAAGTGTTTCTGCAAACAGAATATATGTTGCTAATTATTAATAACATCCATTTGAATCCGTTTTTTTAAACAAGGTTGAAATCGCTTTCAATCGCTACTCAAGTTAACAATACGTAAATTAACAAAAAAGAAATGTTTTATGGGTAGATTTTGCAGATATTTTAGATGTTTTTGCATGAAACGTGAAGTGCCATCCTGATTGTTAAATCTAAATCGAGTTGCATCTAAATCGCACTGAGATCTAATTCTAGTTCATCAATACAATCCCAACAATGAACATTCAATGGAGGCCTAAAATTAAAATTATCGAATTTACCATTATCTTATGATCTCGAAATGGGAAGACCAGAATGGTAGACCTTATTATGAAAACCATTCTTTCTTATTGCAAGCAATACTTTATTAGATTTTTGTTATTTTTTGTCGACAGCAATCAGTTGTCCTGGATATGTTTGCCTTTGGTATTGATTAAAAAGCTGTCACTTTTTTATTCATCATAGATGGTCATTTATGGATTACCATCAGGCTTTGCTAGTGGATTAAAGTTATCTCCTGTGTCAATAGTAAGGCAGGAATGAATTACAAAATTTCTAATATAAAGTTGTCGTTTCTTAGCTACTGGAAACTAATATATGAACTAATAATATACATAATAGCATTAGAGATAAGTTGAAAACTTTCTTGGTCTGTGAAAAACCAGTTTACCCACTATAATTAGCTACGAATATGTTGTCCAATGTTGAACGATACTGGCCATTAGAACGGACACGCGATGAATTTGTACTCGAACATGAGCGAGACGGCCACAAACGCAACGTAGAGAAGAAACATTGTGAATCCTAGACCCTAGAACATAATATGTATGCATGTATTAAATGATACCAGTAGCAAAAATCTTTATTTGTCACAATAATAGCTTAAAATAAGGAACGGAAATATCTACTATAGTTAATGCACATGGAGAATATGTAATGCACATAATCTATAAATAAATAAAAACTATTTTATTTGTCATAGCCTAATCTATCCATTAGTGTGGTGCTCTAGACAGGTTTCCAAGCCACTATTATTAAAGCCCACTATTGCGATACAAATTGATTTGTAAATGTTTAGTCCTCGTCCTCACGCTTTGGTTTTTTATATTTATAATTTTGTGTACATGTTCTGTAAAATTTAACTTGCTGACAAGCACTGCTGTGTTTGCAGATTTGGAAATGGTTGATTGTATATTGGGTGTGCATAATGGGGTTAAATTTCCAATAGGAATGATATATTTTTTAAATGTTATTGGATCCATATTTGAAATAGTGGAACTCTCATGCGAATACATTTGTCTTCAGTAAATTATGCCATTTCATCATGGTGAATCACACGCTTTTAGAGTGCTTGAAAAGTATCAAAACGTTTTATCAAAATACTCGCTGATTTACTAAAACTTAACGTTCGCTTCGTGAAATTTATGTGCGACATAATAATTCTTCTGGGCTTGCTATTCGTCGAATCGTTGAGAATGATCGTCTTAGCGTGGTTACACATGATTCTTTAAATAAAGCAAATTCTCGTTCTTGGTGTGAAAATAATCCACAAGCGATTCATGAGAAGCATTCGCATCCAGAAAAAGTTGCTTCTTGGTGTGGTTTGGAATATATTTTTTCAAAACGACGCCGGTATTTCGGCTACTGTGAATGGTGATCGCTAGCCATCGATGTAAAAGGACTTTATGACCGCAATTGGAAGAAATTGAATTGGAAAACTTGTGGTTTCAACCCGATAGAGCTGATTCCACTAACACATAATCCGAAGAACAGTTTGGTGAATCAATAATCTCCAGAAATCAACCGTTAATTGGCCTCCAGGAAGTTGCAACTTCCACAAGCTATCTTTTTGTGGAGGTATTTAAAGTTGCTCTATGGGAACAAACCTCGAACTCTTGACGGGGTGAGCTTAAATATTAAACGCTGCATTGCTGAAATTAGAGCCGATTGATTGGAGAATAAATCAGAGAGATAATAAAACAGTCAACGAATTCGCTCCTGTAGTCGAAGCTGAGGTGCAGATTTGAACAATGCGTAATTCAGCTCATACATAGTAACTTGTAGTTCAAAATAAAATAAAATAAATTATCATTTAGTTATCTTAAATATTTTGTGTTTTATTTAATTTTAAAAACAAATACTTATTGGAAATCCCTTTATTATTGGATTGTTGCTGCATTTGGTGTCAGTCCGCGTTTGTAGAACCAGCGAATACTTAAGTGTACTAGATATTTTAATTTAGTGTAATGCATGTGCAAACCATGTGTAATTAGAGGAGTATCGTCTGTACAAGTTTTTTGGCGTGTAATCAGCCTTAGGATACATTTGGAAAAATTATATATTGATGGGAGTTTGGGGATTATTTAGCTGTGTACATAGTATATTATGCAAAAATAGGAATATTTTTCAAAACTCTGCAAACGTACTTTATTCATTCGCCACCTGAACATGGCGATGGACATAATCACGAAGAGCAGCATCATGAACAGAATGGTGATAGAGCAAACCATTCCCGTTGAATTCACTTCCACAGGTTCGCGGTAGATTATGCCAAATAGCAGCCAAGGCACTGGTAACCTGCAATTCAAGATATAATATTATTTTTCATGGTGTTAATCAAAAGCTAGTAGCTATGCCTGAACGTTACTTAGCACAAGAATCTTGAATCGTGTACAATGCAAATCGGTGCACCCTGTATATCGTGAATCTAGTAAATGCTACACCCTGTATATTAGAAAATACAAGGGAGAATTTTGGGATGGTTTGTCGCCCCCGTTTAGAAATAATTCGACAATTAAAACTTCTCTATATTTAAATTCAATAAAATAGCCCTTCATGTGGAAGTAATTCGGTAGTTATAAGTGAAAATTAAAAAAATATGTATTTTTGTAATGATGTTACTTTCGTCCACATTAGAAGCAATTAGCCAAGATTAATTGCAACAACTGGGCAGGTGAGAATGACCACGAAAGGCGAGTTTTATTGGTCTTTACTTCTGCAGTGTTTACCCAAATTAGACCCGCTGGAGGTTTTAGAGTTAATATGTAACGGACCTGCGAACATTTCACCAGTTCAGTTGTCCATTGGGAGACTTGCAAGTTATTAAGTAAGAGGTCGCCTAATTAGGCGACAGGTAGTGATAACATGCTCGTATTGCTCCTTGTGGACTGTATTTGTCATTGGACCACGCAGTTTTATGTAAAACTCCGTTTAACAACTTTAAACTTTCTATACTTTTACACAACTGATTGTCCCTAACGCAGTTACTCCAGAGATGTGAGGAAATTTTCACCACTGCGTTCTTTAAAGAGTGCTTTTGAATGGCTTCTCTTAAAAATTATAAAACTAACCGCAAAGTGTATCTTTACATGTTTTTCTAAAAGTATCTAACTCAATCATGACAGAGTTAATATACATTTTATTAACTATAAATATAAATAGTTAGATGCAATATTTTTCGCATTAGCCACAATTACCCCTCAACGGACTTTTTTGGGCCCTACCAAACCATACATGATTTCTTATGCAAGTATTACAAGTTCTTTAAGTTAAGTAGGTACTTTCTAAATCAGAAAATGCGTTTTAAATTACTTTTCTCATATTTTCAATTATACTTAATATAGAGTGATTGAAAATTTGCTTCATTTTTCTGGAGCCGTTGTGAAGAATGCCGAGCGTTTTAAAAACACGGCCTAAAAACCCAAAAATCCAAAAAAGTAGAAGTCCAAATATTAGTTTAGATTATCTCATTTACGCGTTCGTTTATAAACTGAAATTCAATCTTCGTTAATAAGTGAAAAAAAATTACTAAAACATTTTTTGTATATATTTTTCGTTTCGCTCTCGAAATAAGCGCCAATAATCCCTTGAAAAAAGCGACGCCAATTTTAAATCACCTGCTTCGAAACTTTCTTACATAATGTGTGAAGTTCTGCATACTGTATGCAAAAATAAATAAGACAACGTAGTATTTGCCTTATCTAGTAAAATTGATAAATTCTTTAAAATGTAAAAAATTAGCTCTAGATCGCTTACTTGTTCCACTATTTTATCTGAATTTACGTAAATTTAAGTTAATTCAACAAGTTCCAGTGGTATTTTTGTTGAAATCAAAGAATCCCGGAAGTAATTTCAAATCTGGTAATAAATTAATTTCAATAAATAAAGTAGAATATAACAGGAGAAAAATAGGAGAATTTTCCTCGTTATTTCGTGACTTTAATGATAAAATGAAGACTTATCAGTATTATGGGATAATTTATTTTCATTGGGCAGCTTTTAACTAATAAATAAAAATAAAAACTGTCACGGATCGAAAATGTATCGTCACCTAATGACTGGTTCAAATATGGCAAAAAAGTTATATTGTTAGCTTTTATTTGAAATCAGCCCACAGAAGAAAGAAGAAAATTGCGAAAAATTCCATGTATTATGTATAACATATTAAACACGATTCATTCATGATTTGATCATATTAAACATGATTCGACAGCGATTCATGTTTTCAATAACATTTTGTTAGACATTTTGCCCTGAACTTTCGCCTGATTTTTTAAAATGAAATTTCCTTTTAAACACAACATTTTCATTTTTTATTAGCATGAAAATATAAATAGATATAATTTAAATAATAACATTTGTTGGAAAATTCTGCTTTTTAAAAGAATCACAAGTTTGAGGCGAAATACCCACCAAAACAATTTTAAAACTAGCTTCGTTAAATTTAAATCCTGCAAATTTGACAATTTTGTTCAAAAAGTGTTTGACCCATTCTTATAATTTCATGTTTTGAAATCTCCATCACAAAGCTTCCATACAAAAGTTTCCTCTGACACGTTTTCCAGAAATTATAGGATTAATGATCGTTTCCCGATTACTATCTTTTTATTAACCTGTGGGCGCAATAAGCTATAGATAGGCGCTGAGAAGCTCAATAGGATGTTTATCGGTATATTATCGAGTCGAAAACTTTAGCTAACCTATTTATGGGTGTTGAGAGACCAGGCATTAATCAAGGACTATCAAGTAGGATATCAGGAGCAATTCAGGTTTATGTGCGTCGAAACAATCTAGAAACTCCATTTTCGATTGGAGAATCTCTCGACTATCGACGAACATATAAAAAAGTATCTTTAAAACTGTAGAAATTATGATACGAACATGTTAGATATTGAAAGCAGGCAACAAAATTTCATTTCATTCAGTATCATCTTTTTCTTCTTAGGTGCCGGCACGTCAATTCTTCTAAAAAATGGTGTGTGTCACGGGACGCTCGACAGAAGTGATAACTTCATAAATTAATAATAATAATTTTATTTTATCTTTCTAATATTCTTGTTTAGGCTAATAATTTATAAATAGATCAGGAATAGGTAAAATTTAATTTAATTTCCTTTTGAATGTAAAATATATTTTTTATTTGCAACATTTAACATTCTTTAACGAGA